TAGATAGAAAATTTTATTCACAGATTGTTAGATTCTTGTAGATGAAATAGTATTCTTCATAGCTTTTATTCATAGTATGATAAAGTGTAGGCCATGGAGTAAGGATTGTTTCAACAATAACACATCATCTTATGTGTTGTTTATTTTTATCAACTCTATCTATTGAGTTGAAATCTCTAATTGGTTTTGACCGTATTTAAGGCAATGAACCAAGAAACTGGAATCTATTCATTATGCCTCCATTTTCTGTGAACTGTGGACATCCATAAATATTTATTAATTTAATATTTTTGACAACATGAAGGAATCATTATTTCAAGCTCTAAGTACTGTTCCTAGTTCGGGTAAATTGGACTAGAGCACTTTTTGAAGTCCAATTAAGCTGTGGATCTCCAAGGTCTTGTCCTCTTTGAGAATTTTATATTCTTAGTTTGAAGGCTTTTTTATGCATATAAACCCTGCTAATTAATTGTCACTTTTGATTTTGGAAGAACCCTTGATTTGTGCGGCTCATTGACTTATACTATTGACAGCTTCATATATTATAGTTAAACTTGTTGCTCATACATTTTTAATGTTAACTGCCGCTTTTTGTGCTCAGACGAGATGGAGTTAATGATGATAAAATCTATCACGGTCTTATGATTCTAGCATTTTGGATCTATTGATGGAACCCAATCTAAATAGTTTAAGTCATTTGTGCTTTGACTTGGAGAGAGAGGATTTCTATGCCTTTTTAGATGTATTAAACAATTCATAGACTCATAAACATTGCTATTGAGAACATGATTGTCTTACTTGTGATATTGTTTTGTGGTTCAGGGGCACATCTTAGGTATAACTAACCAAATTAAATAATTTAAATCAATTCTTACCAACACCAGTATTCTGAATGTCATTGGTATGACATTAGCTCCTTTGTGAGCTTTAGTTAACCTTAGTTTGATGCCCTTAAAAATTCTTATGCGGAAGAGCAAATTAGTGACAATTGAGAAACAATTGAAATATTTTTGTATATTGTTTTTGCTTTTCATATATTTTTATCCATAAGAAATGAATTTGTCTTTTAAAATTGTAGTAGAGAGGCATTGCCATTAAGGGCCTAGGCCAAGGGACTAAAGACAACACTGAGCTTTGGGCTCTGCTCTCGATGGTGAAATGTTGACTCCCTAAAGAATTTGACATCATTTAGCTGCTCTAATTAAAGAGTTGACTGGCTCGCTTGGACATCTTCATGTTGTGCATGAGAGTTAGTGTTGGCAGATTGTTTCTCTTGTATGGATGAGCTTGTTGGAGATTTATTATTAGGGTTTCTAATTGGTTCATAGTTTATCATGTTTAGTGATAACAAGGGATTACCGTTGGACCAATCCCATTATTTGGGGGAAATATATATTCTAGTCAATTTGGAGCCGGAGGTAGGTGAACTCGATGAGGTCGGTCTTACTACTACAATTTAGGTTATATAAAGCAGGTTTTTGATATCATGTTTTATAAACTTTAGTTAATTTTACATTTTAAGACATAAATAGATGCTACAATCTTAGTTTGACTTTTGGCATAGCATTGATCGGATCAAATGGTACGACCATAAATGTTAAGTGGCGCTGCCTTCAAAAAGTGACCACTTGTATTTGGTTGATTGGTTCAATATTATTGACTCTCACAATTAGCTTTTGTATTGATTAGGCTTGCGTAGTGTTCCGATAGTCCTTGAATTTGGCTATGAATGCATCGTTCTGCTGATCTAGACATTTTTGTTAAGGTTATGTGATCCATTAGTTGGGGTGGCTTTTCTTGAATGGATGGTCTAAACAATCCATGGAGGGGATCTGTCTGGAGCAAATATAAAGCCCGACCTACTTAGAAGAGTTACTTTGAATTGATTCTCTAGTGATGCTTACATCATCTAGGCGATCAAAAGAGACTCCTATTTTGCTTCATGTTTCTTCTTCATTTCTCTGTAGGCAGGATCACAGGGAAGTTTCCACTCATCCCTACTCTTCTCAGCCTTGCATTGCTTCGTGTGATAGGCCCTAATGGAGTTCTTTACTTCGTCAATGGGGTATTTTAGTATATTCTTTTTTGTTATTTTATTTTATTGCATAATTTTGGTAATAGTTCCTTGTATCCCTTGTGAGAGAGGCAATAGGGAATATGCTAGAACAATTATGTCATACAAAGAGAGCATTTGTTGGTGGTGTCGAGCACTTGGACCAATTTTGAGGGCCCATCACCATGCCAAGAAAAGTGTCTAACTAGTCCAATCAATCTAAGCTCCACAATGATAGTTGAACTTGCTAATGTCTAGGAGAGATTGTCACGACCTGGCCCGGAGACTTGAATTAACGAGGTGGGAACGAACAGTCGTACGGTTAAAATGTTTCTTTTAAATTCTAAAACAGTTTTTTTATCTACATTCCATATAAAAACTGAAGAGCAACTAACACAATTTCACATTTGAACATTTACATAATCCATATTTTATATGCTTTCATTTGATTGTCGTCTTCTGTAGACGTATTCATCTTTTTAGCTATTTCTACTTATCATGATACTTACCTAAAAAATTAGTATTACAGTTTGAGTTTACATAGTAATCTCAGTGGATAATCACCATTGATATATAACATTAAAGAATATATAAAATGCTCATGCATATTTTAATCATTTCTTTTTCAATTGAACATATATAACATTTTATGTGCAATATATCATCATAGTTAGCTTTTTCAATAAATTCATTTCTTTTACTATTTCTTTCGTTCTTTTTCATTTGACATTTAATCCTTTTTTTAATTAGTATAAGAGCATCGTCTAATTGTACCAATAACAGTACAACCATTTTCATTTTTATTTGATGTGCTTGTTACGTCCTCGGTCAGTACCATAAGGGGGTGAACTCCTATAATTTGCATGCATGCACTCTTTTCCTTTTTCATTATTCTTTCTTTTACATATTATTAGTTAATTTGTTTATTTCATTTCTTAACAATTATATATACATTTTACACATGCATGGATATATTTATATATTCCTTTTTCATTATACCTTATTTACTGCTCTTTCATCATTTTGGACATGACAATATTTATGGAAAATAATTAAATAATTAAATATACATGATATGATATTAAAACTGACATGAGAAATAAAATAAATATAATTGTTGTAAAACAACTATAATTATCCACTTAATTCGCTTTTTCACTTCAAATCCTTTCAAATCTTTAATTTTATTAAATTAGACATTCAACAGTCACCTCAGTTCAACTATAAAAATCTTCCACTATTCCAAATGACATTAATTTCATTAATTATCACTAATCAACTTCATAAAAATTAAATGTCTACTTAATAATGATGACTTGATATGATATCCCTAAGAGAAACTTCAAACACATAGAACATCATCTCAATACATATATATTTGCATGCTTCTTATTTCTCAAATCAATATTTATGATTACAGTCTAATATAATTAAAACTTAAATATTATTAAATAAATTTTGTTACCTCAATAATTCAAATCTTTTCTTCTTCGTTGAAATGGGACTTTTACCCATTAATATTTCTCATGTCCGAATTTCGTCTTATAGAAAATTTACAAAATGTTTCTTTCCATCAAAGGAAAGAAAGTCTTATAATTTTTTCTTCTAAATTTGAGCATAAACATATAGTAAATTGAAATCACTTACACTTCTTTTTAAGTTTTAAAAGAACTTTTAAGAACCAAACTCCATCCTCTTTCTACTTCAATTTCTTCCTTTGTACTTAATTGAACTATAAACTTATTTCTTAGGTTTAAAGTACAGAAGGATTTACAGCAAAAATGAGAAAAAAATACAAACTTACACTCCCGTACCGATTATCCACTCAGAATCCTGATCCGACCCCGTTTGGAAGGTTCCTCACACGCACGTGGTTCGTTCGGTCCGTCTGGATCTACTACCTGCAGAATTGGTCGCTCGCTGAAAGAATAGGCTGGTTCTGTTGAACTTGCCAGGTCTGGTTCTCACAGAGAAGATGTGGCCTCCTTACCACTGATAAAGGTGGTTGTGAGTCGTACCATTGATATAGGCTTTATAAGAGAGACAACAAACAATAATGTATCAACTGTTGTAGCAAAAAGGCAGTGATGACTAAAATGAAGGTTGGTATTGAGGAGTTTGATCTTGAAGAACACCCCTTTATACCTAGTATACTGCTTGTTTAACAATAAAAAATAAAGAAAGATCATTTCTAATATTTTCTAACCAATAAAAATAAAAAATAAAAAAATCCCAAACCTCTTCTACTCCAACTTTTATAGATAGTTGCAATTGCGATTGCCTCTGACGGACCCTTAGTTTCTATGTTTCTTGTGGCCTCTAAATCATTGTGCCATCTATGGTCCATGTTCTAGAATGATAGAAAAAGTGATGGTTAAGCCTGAAGAGCATGTATGGTAGGGAACTGACATTAATTTAATGAGTTAAGTGTTTCCTTAGAATAACCTAAAAATTTTAAGAGCATGAATGAAATTTGGTTGCTTTCCTTGGCAATTTGTTATATTTTTTTTCACTGGTACTTTTGTGGTTACTTTTGGATGCGAAGCCATCTGTTTTAGTATTTAATTTCATGCAGGAGTGATAGATCTCTTACTGTTGGTCTCACAAACAAATCCATTATAATGTACATAATCGGTACTTGATATAGTTTGTTTATGTAGTTATTGTCTAACAATTTCATTTTAAAGCATTCCTGCAAAAATCTTATTCCTTCCGTTTCTTTCCTGCTTTATGCTCTGTTTGTCTTATAACGTAATGTTTGTTTTCAACTGTTGTCACATCGTCATCATTAGCGTTTATCCTAACTATTTGAAATTTTCCTTATGAATCTCTTGGTTGCCATAGAAGAAAGTTTAAAAACATTAAAAGCTAATGCCTTTGATATGCGTATTTCATATTTGATTTTCTTTATTTTTTGGTACCTTAAACTTACCGTCCATTGTTTTAGGAGTGGTTTTGAAAAGGTCTCTAAGAAGGATACCTAAGATAAGGTGTTGGTTTGTTGGATTTTCTAATGTCGATGGAGTTGAACTGGCTAACAATTTCAGTGAAGGCTGGTCCACTCAATTGATAGTTGGCAAGCATGACTGCCGCCATTACACCAATGGTACATCATCTTTCTGATTTAGTTCTATGTTTGCTTTCCTTGCATTTATTCAAGGTTTGGTTTATCATGACATTATTTTGTATGATGAAACTCATATTTGTGAAGCAATTATTGTTCAAATTGTGAATACTCAAATTTAAAAATTTCTTGGTAGATATGTTTTCAAAATATTAGTAAAATATATATACGAAAATTTAGTTTAGAAATCTTAAGGCTTGCTAGTATGTGTTAAATCAGTTTCTTTATGGTATTTCTACCCTTCAGAGAATGTATCGTGGTTCAGATGTCAATAGATATTACTCACCTGGATGAAATGACTCTTGTCACATGTCGTGCGCTTGCTGGTGAGAATCATGTATATTATATAAAATATTTATTCAACTTCTCTAAATTAGCTTTTGGTAGATCACTGAAAGAATAAATAGCAGTAGTGAATCCAAATTTGAAGATCAAAGAAGAGCAGAACTACACGGCTTCGTGGCCTAGTGATGAGTATCTTCCTGAAGCTTCTAGCGATTGCTTGCCTCGTGGAACTGGCTTCTACCAAGCAATAGCTTGCTAGGTCGAACTCAAAGTGTGTGAAAGAAGGGAGCAACGCATGAAAAAAACTAGTCAAAGCGGGTATATAGTGAAAATAGTGAGGAAAATAAGTAATACGTTAAAGTCCTTGTTGGATGTATAAATGTAATTTAACATTAATTCCTCATATCATTATCAGGCGTAAAATACTCAATGGGCAATGGCTCTAAGTTAGGTGAGAATGGAGAATAAATAGGAAATGTGGAGAAATATTCTTTAATTTCATTGGAGTTGTGAAAGACTAAATCAAATTAAATGTTAAACTTGTTAAAATGAAATTCCTTTATTTTGAATAAAGTTCACAATCACTGAAATATTTTAAATAAATTACTTAATTAACTGAAAAGCAGAAGCATTAGTGTCTTTTTGACCATGAACTAATGCATTAAATTAATAAGAAGTTATTCAGAAGAACTTGATGAACCATGTTTGTTGTGAACCTCACTCTGTTAATGCGAGTAAAATTCTTATCACTCACATAGCATTCTTAAAGATAGTTGTTCAACTCGATTAACACATTGGCCTTTTGCCAATCCTTGATTCATGATTGCTTTAAGAAGCTTGTCTTAGCTTTCATAAGAAGCTGCCCTTTTCCAGTCATATGGGCGACTCCAACTGTGCAGTGCAACTTAACAAACCGTCCAAAATCAAGGAATATGGAGATCAGTAAGTGCATATCTTGACTTTCATTGCAGCTATATACCATCAAATACAATAGGAATGGACAAATTTACATAATAAAATTATAGTGCCTGGCCAAGTTGATTGGAAACTTCTTGTTACTGTTATGAACCTACTTTTTGGGAACAACTTTCACATAAGGTGGATTAATATCTCTATTAATTTTGTAATAGGCTTATGTCCTATTCCCCTTAATGTATTTTCCACATAATTTCTTTCCTCGTGATTGTTTCTGAGATCTGCCAAGTTCGTCAGTCCTTACAAAATAAGTTTGTTATTAGCCTTTGTAATTGTAACTTGGCAATCAAAATGAAGTAAAACTGGTGGAATTGGTCGCTACCACAAAGGCATATTTGCTAAGAGGTTTCTAAACCCACTCATGTCAAAATGAGATGATCATAAGACTTTGAATTCATTAATGGTACTTGAATCAGTAGTACAAATAAGAAAGTCACCCACATTAAGGCATATTACATTCACACCATGATTATCCGAATCAAAATTAGAGTAGACACATCAATCTGCATCATTAATCACAAATCCATTAGACACCATGATATAATTAAACTTAAGATGCCATTTTTTGAGCCTTTTAAACCCCAAAGAGACTTGACTTACACTTAATTTTTTTTACGAGGAATGATAAACCTTTTTATCTAAGTCACTATTAATAAATATTAATTTAAAATGAATGAAGTTCAATGCAATCAAAGACTATCAATGAAATATGAGTAACCCGTCAATATGTGTCAAGTTAGTTGGTCTCTCTTTTGTGTGAAGCCCCTCACCACTAATCTAACTTTTAATTTACCTATGAATCCATCAAGTTTTATTTTTATTTCCTAAAAATAAAATTAATAGTAATTGTCTTATCACAAAAAGGAAGATCAACCAATTATTAAGTATAAGATAATCTATTTCTTTATTGATTGCTAATCTCCAAAATGAAGCATTAGTAGAATTAATGGCTTCCTTAAAACATAATCGGTTGATCATCCAAAAGATATGAATAGAGCACTGCTAACTCACTTAAAGAATATTTGGGAGGACTAATTATGTTACTTTTAGGAGGAAAGGTATCTTTAAAGAATTATTCATTTTTTTACTCAATTATACTATCTGAATATAAGATGACATTTTTTAAAACAACAAATTTGTGACTAGTTTAATGCTCACCATATCCAATAAATTAATAGTCAACAATCATAGATTCTATTTTCTCTTCATCTGTTCAGGCAATAAAAATTTGTTAAACACCCCGAACACTTTTAAATAACTAAAGGTTACACAAGTGCTATTCTCAAATCTCAATTTGGTTTTTTAGTCATCTTGAAAATTATTCTATTTTGAATAAGAAAAGCTGATAAAATGGCTTCCCTAATATTTATTAGGTGTTCCTAAACTGATCAACAAATCATTCATCATTCCTAATTTTCTTATTTGCTACAACATTAGATAAGGACAATAAAGTGTAATATCATAAACAATATTATGCTCTTCATAACGGAATTCAAACAGCTGAATTCATAGTCTCTCCTATCCCACCGAAGAATCTTAATATTTTTATCTAATTTATTCTCAATATCAGCCATATAGATCTTATACCAATAACAACATCAAGCCTTTATCCCACAACGTGGAGTTGGCTACATAATTTTTTTTCTCCATTGTGTCGTATTATGAGAGTCAAATTCTCATATAAATCTAAAAAGAAAAGAACATTTCTAATACTTTCTAACCAAATCCTTTTAGGTTTACCTCTACCTTTCTTAACATAGGACAAATCTAATACATACTATCCTAATCAGGTCATCGGAAGGTTGACATTTTATGTGACCAAACCATCTAAGGCAACGCTTTCTTTATCATATCTACCACTGCAGCTACTACAACCTTTTCACATATATATACTCGTTTCACATTCTATCTCTGAGAGCAAAGTCTCTCATCCACCTGAGCATCCTCATCTCTGCAACACTTATCTTAGGCTTCGTTTGGGACGACTTTTTTATTGCTTCTTAAAATAATTTTTTAGTACAAAAATTAAAATTTATGTACTAAAAAGTTGCTTTAAAAAGCAGTAAGAAAGTTGACCCAAACGAAGCCTTAATCTTATGCTTATATTTTTATGGCCAACATTCTATGCTATAAAGCATTGTAGGTCTTACTACCATCTTGTTGAATTTTTCCTTAAGTTTGAGTGTTACTTTTCTATCACACAACAGGCCCGATGCATTCCTCTACTACAACAATCCAACTGAATTCAACTGATAATATCTCCATTTATTTCACCATCACTTTTAACAATAGATCCGAGAAATCTAAAATGTGTACTATTTTTAATTACTTGATCACCTAAATTCACAATTCCCATTAGATCTATTACTACTAAAATTGCACTCAATATATTCGATTTTAGATCTATTCAAACGAAAACCTTTAAACTCTAAAGTTAACCGCCATAATTCAAGTTTTTCAACTCCCTCTTTAGTCTTATTAACAAGAAGAATATCATCAGCAAAAAGCATACACCAGGGAACTTCCTCTTGCAAATATCTAATGAAATTTACCTAAATACTATGTAGTTTAGGGATTTTGATTTTTCAGTTGAGTTTTTTTGCCTTGAACACTTAAGCCCTTCCCAACTGAACAACCTTCCAAGTTGCTTGGTGGAAACATATCATCATCTTGACGGTTGCTAGAAATAGATCAACCTGTGAGCAAGTACTAGGCAAATCATTAGAAGACATTATATAAAGTTTGTTATCATCAAATCAATAGTGAGACACATATGTGCCATATGCTGTCTTGGAGTCAACAATATATGATTGCAAAATTGGGACCTAAAATGCAACTTAAAATACTAAATTAATTGGATATAAAAAAATTAATAAAAAATATTTAAGAAAACTGAGTTCAGAAAAAGTTGCAGCTGAGTTGTGTGCAAGCATTCTTTAGGGCTATATCGGTACCTAGGAGAACATGTCTTGGTGCAAAGTTTACTAATGGTAGCCCTCAAGGATGAAACGACTCTTCTCACTAGTTGAGTTGAGCACATTGATGAGAATCACATTAACAACCTTCCTTTACAATATATAAAATAATATTTCAGCTTCTCTAAATTTGCTTCTGGCTATCGCTAGGCCCTTGGAATTGGCTGCTACCATGCAATAGCATGCTAGATCAAACTCGAAGAGTGCGAGAGAAGAAGTGGGTAATAGATAAAAAGAGATGGCGAATAAAATTGGATAGAAAGTGGAAATGGAGAGCAGACCAAGTTAAACAACAGAACTCCTTTTTGTATATATAAATGTAACTTTGAATTATTTCATTATTTCCTTATCAGGATTAAAATACTTAAACGGCTTGAAGTTTGGTGAGAGTTGAGAGGAAATGGGAAATGTGGAGTATTCTCTAACTTGATGGTAGTGGGGAAAGAGTACATATGATTAAATTCTTAAATAAAATACCATTATTTTGAAGTAAAATTTATGCATTTAACATTTTTTTTTAATATAGTATCCAATTATTTAATTGTGTAAGGTGGCAGACCAATGATAATTTTGAGAAGCATTGTGAGTTTTTTTTTCCATGATGAAAAATACCATTTATGGGTATTTTCTCTAAATTTAAAGTTTTTTATCTCATAATGTGAAAGCATGATGCCCGAGTACTTAACAAAATTTTCAAGATTTTCAGCTTTTTAAATGTTAACCAAAGCTCCATTTACCCTATTTGTTCTGAAGGGCTGGTTGAGCACCTAACTGGAGAACGGAGTGTTCTAGAGCGTCTGAGTCCTCATTGGCTGAAAAAATCAGAATAATTTGGTTAGTTTTAATTTATTACTATTATTCTTTTCTTAGTTCTTATAATAATAATAATGAATAATAATAATAATAATAATAATAATAAAAATATTATATTATTATTGTTTATGTTTATAGGTAGATTTTCATTTTTTCTAACCCCCAAGGTCTTGTGAACGTTAAGTCTTGTATAGCAAATAATGGAAATTGTAATTTATGCTTTATTCCAGCTGAATACTGAAAAGATATAAGTGCATGATAATATTCACATATTTTTATAATGATGATGGGTCATGGCAGTAGGAAAATTATCTCTTTGGGAAGCATTATTGTGAGAAATCTTTGGATGTAATTAGTAACAATGTCATAGTGTCTGAATTCCACCCCAACTGACTCTGATATTGTCAAGGTGTAAGTCATCCTACGGGCTGACTGCTCGCACGCTGGCTATTTTGTCCGTATCAGGTTTAGCAACCAACCTATTCTGCTACGTTGCCCCTTTTGTTTCTACTCGTTTTTTTCGTGTGACACTGATCTCGACAGAGACTTTTGCTATCTCCTTCTAGCACCACAGCAGACTTCCACGCCGCCAGATGAGTGGATCCTATCTCCACGTATTACTATATCCTTGTAGAGGTAAACGTTCTAACTCGCGGCAATTGACATTTCGACTCGCTCTCCTTATCACTTCTCATCTAATTCCGCTCGTTGTCTTAGTTTATGCTAACCGATTTTATGATTTTAAAATCTTATCTCCTATCTTTTCTTCTCGAGCCTTACATATACACACTGCCTCGGCCAGTTTTACTCACTAAATTCGATATGCTCATAATACCTTACTATGTTATTTATACGCCTTTCGATAAATATTCGCTGAAGTAGTTTTCTCGTCATTATCAAGCCCTACTTAAAATCCATTTTGCGTTGCTTCCCCTCAATTATGCGCGTCCAATTCTTGAACAATCTATATCTGATTTCATCTTTTAGGGCTGTAATGTGCTTTGGCAAATCCTTAGCTATCCAGATGTGCGCTTAATGTCCCCATGGTGTTACGAATTTGCCTTAATGCATAAGCGAAAATTACGTTCGCTTATCAAAGTCTGACATCGGCTGCTTCCCTGCTTTGTTTGTAGCAGTAAAGCGAGCATCTACATCTCAAACTTTAAAATCCATTTGCGTGCTGAGGATGATTGCTATTTTGGACACTAAGATCGATCTGGAGTTATGCCGTCCACGAATTGCAGTCTCTATCATCCTGCCGATACAAGCATTAAGTGATTCTAAAACATAAGTAGAAAATTTGAACTCCTGGAGTATATCGGCATCTTCATTGGACACGCAAATAAAACTTTTCGTTCTTTTCTCTCTACTCATCCTCCAGATGAATTGATGAACTTATTCTAACGGTATTCCAGTGTCAAGATTGTTCTGACAATTAAAGGGATATAAAGTCGAATCAATGAATTCTCTAACCTCTAACCATCCTAGACTACAGCCACGTAAATATTTATCATTGTGTTCTAAAATAACAATGGAGAATTAATGCATTATGTGCGCAGAAAATCGTCATCCTACTTATCTCTTAACTCTCATCCCGTAACTTATAAAAATGGATCCAGCATAATCTTCTTAAGATTCCAGCAATCCTGGTGGTGTTCACAAATACTTCACATATATTGCTCTATGCTCACGTCAGTTCTAATGCAAACTAAGGGTATTTAATAGTTTTGCACGAATGGCGAATATAGAATTTTATTTGGAGAAGCGGTCAAAGACCGTGGAATAGAGTGTATATACTAGACACTTACTAACTGACGAGAAAATTCTCGACAGCGCGTTTGAACTTTCTTTTTATACTACTGATACCATTTCCACATTTGAATTTCTTGAGCACGCAGCAACACTCTGGTCTGCCTCGTCAGCTCTTATAAGTTAAACACCCAGATATGGGAACAGTGCACAATGATTTTATTGATTGTATTAGCAGATCTCCCATACTGATATCTCATTATTGGCCTTCACATCTTTGTTCAACTTGAAATACGAGCTGATTGAAAGTTATAGATGCCATACTTCTGCTTGAGAACTTCTTGTCATTCCCTAATGATTATCGTCACCACAGTGGCCTCATAGGTAAAATAATGTTCCTGAGAGTCCATCGCTATGAACGCGGTAGAACCTCACCTCAATGACGAGATACCATCATGGACACAATGACAATAATACCGTGGCACAAGGCTATATCGTCTTTAAGCTTTTATCAAAGGATTTCAGAGTAGCACTTCCTATAATCATCTCACTTCATGATTACCTGAATATCATTTACTAACGACCATTTACAATCGCCTTTATCTTTTTACTCCTCAGCCGTCTATAGAGATGAAGATCTGGCACATTCTACTGCGAAAGTCTTATCCAATCTGGCGTCATAACTTTAGGAAGGGGACATGACAATTGAACTCCAAATCATATGTTTTATGTTTATAACTACGCATGAAACTGCTTTTGTTTGTACCTGAAACAATTTATGAGCATATTGATCAAGTCTGAACGCCGATATCCTACACTTAAGTTGGGAATCATTTCCTTGAGATCACAGTGCGTTCACCAGAAGATTATTGAGGCAAAAAGAATATCAGATTCTTTGAATTGGTTTTGAACAAGACTTGGATGGCGTTCAGAGGACGGATCATGAGAACCAAACCTCTTCCAAACTCCGGGAAGCCTTTCTAAAAGTCGAAGTGAGAGAGCAGAAGAAAGGTCAATCTTGAAGGCCTACAAGGATCTTCAAAGGTTGAAGAATGGAAATGCGTCGGTACTGTCCGTAGCAATCGAAACCCTCACATGTTGAAAATCGACATATCGAAAGAAGGTGAGGAAGACGCATGCTTTTGATCACACGTCGACGCTCAAAAATTAAGGACCGAACTACCCCAAAAAGGGGAGAAACCAAAAAAAAAAAAAACACCATAACTTGATCGAATTAATATGGAAAAATCAAGCTGATTGGAAGAGACAACGAACACTCAAATTTCGACAGAGCCACGACCACACACGACACAGTCAATATTGGCAGATATCGGTTTAGGCATTTGTTCACAACACCACCTCCCACATAAGAGTCAAATCCAACTAGCAATCATCTACGTCTTGATAGGGCTTCAATATTTCCGTTCACTGTCTCTGGGTTTTTCCAAGCCCTTTACAGAATTTTCCCGTGTTCGGTAATCAGTGAGTGGCGTACCACTGGATCGCCGGCCAACAGGCCTCGCCAGCCCGACATTTTACGGTACAGCGTGCACATTTTCCTGTCCAGAATGCGTCAAGTCATACTTGGCCCGATTTAAGTTCTATTCTTTCGCCACTAACTCGTAAAACCTGAACTCACTTGACTATACTTACCTCCTCATCCGTTCTCACTCCCTTATCTTTACAACATCCCAGCTATCGTGTATTCTTACAACTCACCATATTTACCGCTCATTTATTCATTTCTTTTGCTGACAGTTGTTATCTATAATACTCACGCTTCTTGAGTTTTACTCTCTGGGCTACTGCTTTATATCTCTCAGCAGTCCCTATACACAGACACAACTTTGAGTGATCGTAAGCATTCCTAAGTTACTCTACTTTATACTCTTGTACCTCAATGTGTATGGCTCCAAGAATATAAACATCGCTACATCATCTGCATTATAGCTTGTGAAACGTCGCTACGGACTCGCACTTCGAAATTAATTTTGATGCCCACAAGAGCTATTTCAAAAGCAATACTTTTATTGAAGATACTTGAGGTGTACAAAGAGCAGAAGTTAGAAATGTGAATGTGGATGGGATAACGGCAATCTATATGTTAAGCGCTCTTTGCATGAATCTGGTGCTCTGGAATATGAGACATTTCTCCAATTGAGGATTAAAGAATTTTGGATTTTCCACCATTCGACAAAAGAGTTTAGTGTATATTTGTTGAGCACAGGAAGTGAATACTGTACAATCAATTTCTTAACAAAGGCCCAAGCCATGTGGGGTACATAAGATATGTTTAGATCTTATCACACCCTTTGAAGTGGAGACATGCACAATTTCAGAGGTCTTTGCGTTAGTATCCTATTAGCATGTATTGACATAATTTCCCATGAGGACCACGTTCCGAAAAGTAGCCAATATATCTTGATTGAATATCGCGTATTGCTCCAACTTAATGTATAAGTAGCTCTAAATTGATTTGTGTACCATATGCTGAGGAGAATTTGCTGGAGATTTAGTCTTCGGGAATTGATATCACTATACTAATTATTTTTTGACAAAGTTAAGCTCGGCTAAGATTTTCCGCAGAGACAAAGTAGTATTACGAGAGGCAAATTGACGGTCTATAGTTCGACGAAGAATAGGCTTAGAATACCTTTGAAATAAGAATGTATACTAATCGAGTGGTTTATTCTAACTTTGCTTTCAAAACCTATTACACCACTTAGTCGAATGTGATGGCTTCCTGAAAATGGCAAGATTTAATGATACCCCAATGGCGGCTTGATAAAGCAAATTTGTGACACATCATTTCCTAGAGCCACTATCTGTCCTTTACACATCTTAGCGATCTATCCAAAGAGTTATCTTGTTACTATTCTCTTTAAATTGGTTGCACGTAGTTCAGCCTAAAATGTTCTGTAGATGAGTCTATATCAGTATTTCATTGAACATGTGTAGCCTCCCCGGGCACGCATACCAAATTCTAAGTAGAGGACAAATCTGGTGCTTACCCATTTATGCTTTGATAGCTGACATCTACGCTCAGCTTACGTCGTCTCATTTCGCCTTAGTTCTTCACTAACACATATCTCCCATCTTATTATTCATGGTACTTGAACACTTCTTTTGTTTGGCCTCCTTCTGAAGCACCAGATAAAGAGTGGAAATTTTTTAGTACGATCTCTACATTCTCACTTCTTTTTTATAGCACTATCATATTGAGATACATATGGCCTCTCTCTTATGACGTTTCCCCACTAGGTTGTTATTCTTTGCCCAAATGTTGAAATTCAATCATTGATAACCTTGTCTCACTTAGAAGTATATCACCAAATTGTCTCGAATA